ATTGGCATAGGAAAGACTTTATGAACAAATCCTCAGTAGCACAGGAACTAGAAGAAAGAATCAACAACTGGGATCTCATCTTATTAAAAAGCTTCTACACTGCAAAAGAAACTAAAAGAACTAAAAGACAACCTACAATATGGGAAAAAAATTTTACTAGCTGCTCCTCAGACAAAGGACTATTATTTAGAAAATATAAAGAACTCAAAACAATCAGCCCCTCCCAAATATAAAGACCCAATTCAAAAATGGGCATCTGAAATGAACAGACACTTCTCAGACAAAGAAGTAAAAGCAGCAAGTAAATATATGAAAAAATGCTCCAAATCACCGGTCATTTGAGAGATGCAGATGAAAACATGGAGATTCCACCTCATCCCACAAAGAATGGCTATCAAGAAATCGCTCAATAACAAATGTTGGCAGGGTTGTGAGGAAAAAGGAACCCTTCTCCACTGTTGGTGGGAGTGCAGACTGGTGCAACCACTATGGAAATCAATATGGAGATACCTCAAAGAGCTGAGATTAGAGATCCCATTTGACTCAGTCATCCCTCTGCTGGGTATCTTTCCAAAAGAATTAAAAGAATCATATCACGGTGATATATGCGCACCTATGTTTATAGCGGCACAGTTTGTAATAGCTAAAGCTTGGAAAGAGCCCATCTGCCCAGAAGTTGGAGACTGGATAAAGAAGATGTGGTTTTTCTATAAAATGGAATACTACTCAGCTATAAAGAATGAGAAATTAGATTCATTCATAGGAAAATGGATACATATTGAAGATATACTAAGTGAAATAAGTCACACATGTATAAATACCGAATAGTTTCCCTGGTGTAAAAAACTATAATGGTAGATAAGATCCTAATGATACAATTGACAATGTGAAATAGGAAGAAAAGGGCTAAAGGTATAGGGGAAGTGGGAATAAGGGAAAAGAAAAACATGAGAAAATGAAAAAAATGGAAATAAAGTATTTGTAAATTGGGAAGGGAGGAGGGGGTAAAAGGAGGGCAGGGATAAGGGGGAAAAATGAGAACCACGACTTGTCATGTAAAGGTACAAGATCCCAATAATGAATGTAACTGTATTGTATACCTAAAATGTGCCAATAAACCCAAAGAGAAAAAAAAAAGAATATCAATAAAATAATTTTATCCAAAAACAAAGTGGGCAGAAAGGGGATGGGGAGAGAGCTCAGGGGTAGAGAACTTGCCTAGCATTCATGAGGCCCTAGGTTCAATCTCCAATACAAAAGAAAAGCAAGGGAGCAAAAAATAACATTTCAAAATATGACCCACACAAAATAACTGCATAGTAAGTTCTAAAGTGTGGCAAAAAAGTTTTCCAAACTTTAGCTGCAAAAGCACACTGGACTGTGAATGAAAAGAGATACACTATTTTTCCACCTGAAATTCAAGAGTGCTCAAAATATAAACTGCCAGCTTTTGGAGCATGAATCACAAGTTTTCATCAGAAGAAGCCATCAGCTCATCAGACAATGAAACATACTCTCAGTGTTAAGAACTTTTCATCCTCCCCTGGCCCTTTCCTATCAATCAGGTCAAGTACAAGGCTGATATATATCTATAGATATAGATATAGATATAGATATAGATATAGATAACATTATCTTCAAATAAAACCTGTGGGGGTTTTGCCATGACAGATAACTTTCAGTTTTAGAATAACCCACATTTTCCTATAATCCTGTACCCAGAGTGCTTCATCCACAGTATCCAGAAAGGAAAAAAAAAGGTGAGAGGATGAGAGGAAAAGAAGAAATGGGGAGAGAGAGAGAGAGACAGAGACAGAGAGATAGAGACACAGAGAGAGAGACACAGAGAGATAAAGACAGAGACAGAGAGACAGAGACAGAGAGAGAGACAGAGACAGAGAGAGAGACAGAGAGAGAGGGAAATAGGGAAGGAATGAAAAGAAAAAAAGAAGTGCACTGAATATACTAAAATTCCTAGTACACTTCACAGGGGACCAAGAGGCTTGCAAACCAGAAGATTAATTCTTTTTTTTGTACCAGGGATAGAACTTGGGACCTTGTGCTTGCAAAACAGGTGGCAGGACCACTGAGCTAAATCCCCAGCCCTAATTCTAATGAATGTTGAGAAATTGGAATAAAAGAAAATAATATCTATATAAAATCTAAGTATTAAAAATATAAAAAATATATCAATTCCCAGTACCAAATAAATAAATAATAAAAATATCAGATAGGGCTGGGGATTCAGCTCAGTTTGTTCTGCCACCTGCCTCACAAAGAGCAAGAACCCGAGTTCAATCCCCGGTACCAAAAAAAATCAGATATACAACAAATTTGAAAATTACTGAAACCAAGTGACTGAAACATCAGGGTTCAAAATTCTAGCCTATCTACTATTGTGTTTGCTTAAAAATTTCCATAATCAAAAAAGTCTAAATGAATTGAAATGTGAACAAATTTAGAAAAGCTCTCAGAATTCCAAATGCCTTCAGTGACAATGAAATGGGCTAAAACAAAAGCTTAGCATTTCTAATACCTGCACAGAACTTACGTGAATCTAAGCTAAAAAATAAATAAAGGAGAGTGTTATGGATTGTGTCTAGATGTCCCTCAAAGCCTCATGAGGCCACAGGGCTTTTTCAGAAGTGGCTGAATCTAGAGTGTGTGATATTGAGATTAAAGAAATACAATTACTAAACCAGTACACTGACTGGTTTGACACTGACCTAATCCAGGTAGTCTGGACAGGACAAAAAGGTGGAAAATGCTATTAAGGTTTCCTTGTTGCTTTGCTACCTTTGGTCTACCATGAACTGCTGCCCCTCTACCATGTGCCTCCCTTCCTTGAAGCAGGCCAATTACAGACCGAAGCTTCTACGGACTGAGCAAAATAAACCTTTTCCCTTTTAACTTTGGGTGTTGGGCATTTTGACTCAGCAACAGGAAAAGTAACTAAGACAGAGAGGAACCAGAGCAAAACAGAAAACAGAATATTGTTTATTTAGGTGAGGAAAAGCCAGACTCCTTAATGGAGTAAAGGCAAAAGTTAGTCTTAGGAAGGCAGGTCAGCAGGGAACGTCCCTGGACTAATAGTTTGCATATAAAGAAAACAGCTCCTTCAGGGAGTACACTCTGTGGTACCTGTTCCTTCTCTTAGGCTAATCCTATGAGAGCCAAATTAGGCTGTTTTAAAATTTAAGAGCAGTGGGCCAGGGATTTAGCTCAGTGGTGCTGCCGCCTGCCTCACAAGCGCAAGGATACGAGTTCAATCCCCAGTACCAAAAACAAAATCTAAGAGCAGAAAAATAATGACAAGTGACAAAATAATCACAAAGAAGCACAGCAGACATAGGTTAATGGTGTTTTCCTCTGCTTACTGAATTGTATTTTAAGGCAGAAATGACACATCTGAGTCCAGCTGCTCTTCAAAATCTCAAAGACATATACATTTTACTCTTGAAGCCAAACAAATACATGTGGGGGGGTGACTATTATTAAAATATTAAAAGTCTGTTTAAAAAATTATCCCCTTCATCACAGAGATGGAACATTACTCCTATACAACATGAAATTTCATTGTAAGTTAAATGAGACTAAAATTGTTCATTAACAGGAGAAATATGACAGTATTTCACATCTTACATTAAGTAACAGAAAATATTTTAAGATTTTTTTCATGAACATTAATCACACTTGAACTCATAATTAGCCCTTGAACATTTTCCAACAACCAAAATAATGTCACCAATTAGCCACGGACTGTAGCTAGAAATGAAGTAAGTCATCATAATGTGTGTTTTTAATCCTTAGGTGGGTGTTCTCGGTGTTTAACATCAGAAGAACCCATGTGCATTGTACAAATGGTACTATACATTATAATTTTTAGAGGCATATAAAATAATAAATGAGATATTTCTCAGATGCATTATAAGTAACCATCATATTTTGAAATCAATTTTAAATTATAGACAAATTGGAATCATAATGCGGAGATGATATTTTTCAGAAAAATCGTAAGAATGTACTTTCAAGAATAAAAATACATTTGAGAAAAACTAGAATAAAGCTCTAGCAATCAAATTAACCATAACTGAAAGTCTTACAAAAGATAATTTAGAAATATACCTTAAAATGTGAGTAAATGTGGCATCAAATGTGCACTTATAAGTTGCCAAATTAGAGGCAAAATTATCGTGCTGTAAAATGTGATCAGTATTAAACCCAAACACACAGTATGAGAAAATACAGGCAACAGATCCATGTAGTAAGTGGAATACATGTTCTGTGTCATCAGGATGTCACTCCACCTCACAGGACCCCAGCAAAACTTTAGAATTATTTTCAAAAGAACACTTCATGTAACTATTTCCAATAAACCAGAGATGCAATACTAAACAATAAATATACTAAAATATCTAAACAGAGCTGGGAATTTAGCTCAGTGTTTCCGCTGCCTGCCTTGCAAGCACAAGGACCCAAGTTTGATTGCTGGTACCAAAAATAAATAGATAAGATAGATAGATAGATAGATAGATATAATATCTAAACAGATACTAGGTAATCAATTCAAAATCAGAAATGGATATACTTTCATATTTATAACTCACATAATCAGAAATGGAATCCAATAAAATTTTCACTGAAAATGCAGGCCCTATGCTAAGATCATCATCAGAAAACTCAATGAATACAACGATAAACTTAAAACCATAAGTAAGAAATAATGGAATATGTTGTTTTCTTTTGAGGAAAGAAAGCATATGCTTTGAGGGTTAAAAATGAACATACTTCAGGCAAAAATACAAATACAGATAAAACAGAAGAAGCAATTCCCTTTCAGGATATATATACCTTCTCTCATTGTATACTCATTTAGGTAGAAGAATGACATAGGCATTAAAGGTGCTGGATTTCTAAATTTTTCTTTAACCAACCATACAAAACAGAGGAAGGGCTTGAGTTATGGTATTACAAAAAAAAAGATGAAATGTAACACTTACTTTTGCAAAGGCTTCAAAAATGTCAAAAGAGGGTGGCAACTGAGAGGCATCCTGTATTTCTTCTCTCATGAAATGTTGAAATGTCATTGCAAGTTGCCTGAGGCCCTCTCTCTTATCTTCAGTCAGTTTGTTAATATCTTTTTTAAAAAGAAAATAAATAGCACAATTACAAAGTGAACTTCATGGATAATTTTCAGGTGTTCAATGTTGGCTGTTAAATCAGATTACTTCCTGTCTTATATTGCATTCTGACATCTTTTTATTTTTTTTAAGAACTATAAATCACAGTCTATGTTATCAGTTAAATTCTCCCAAACTTTATCTACAATGTAAGGTCAAACAACTAACAAAAAAAATCCATACATAGAGATTTAAAAATATTAAAACCAAAATCAGTAAGGTTGTGTACTACCCTGATTTTCTGCATTATCCTTTACACATGTACAAAGCATAATAAATTCTTACTAAGTCGACGAATTTAAACTGACTTTTCCATGCAACAATTTACAACTAGGTCATAACTAACTTATAAACTATAGCATTTGAAAAGCAAAATGACAGAAAATGAGAAGTTAAAAGTTCAGATAAAGTTCAAATAACTGAAATTTGTCATATAGAATGTACATTATGAAGAAAACATGGACCAACTAAAGAAATCTTATCTGTAAATTATGTTAAAGTTGAATAAATATATGGTGCTGCTCTAAACCAAACATGAAGGTATGGTTGTGTTTCTCTTTCTATCCTGAAGAGAAAGATTCTGTAAAAAAACTGTTAGAACCGATAAATGAATTCAGTAAAAAAATCAGCAAGATTTTTATATCAGTGAAATGTTTCTATACTAATAAACTTACTAAAAAAGAAATCAAGAGGGTAATCTCATCATTCACAACAGCTACCTCAAAAATAAAATACTATCTAGAAAAAAACTTAACCATGAAAGTGAATTACCTCTATGATGAAAATTATGAATCACTGATAAAAGAAATTAAAACATAGAAAAATGAAAAGACATCCCATATACATGACTTGAAAGAATTACCAATGTTTAAATGTCCATACTCCCCAAAGTGATCTTCAGGTGCAAAGCAACTCCCACTAAAATAACAATGACATTAACACAGATACAGGAAAAATAATCATAAAAATCATATGAGACCACAAAAGACTCCAAACAACCAAAGCAATCCTGAGCAAAAAGGAAAAGTTAGTGGCGTCACAATATCTGACTTCAAAACATAATACAAAGTTATAGCAGCCAAAATAGCATAGTACTAGCATAAAAACAAACATATATCCAATGCTACAGAATAACTGATTTTCAACATAGGTACCAGGAACATATATTGGAGAAGTGACAGCATCATCAATAAATAGTGCTGGGAAAACTGGATATCCTTAAGCAAAAGAATGAAACTAGTCTTTTAGCTTTCCCCATATACAAAAATCAACTAAAAATGGATCAAAGACTTAAATATAAGACCAAAAATATGAAACTACTGGAAGAAAACATAAAGGAAAAAGTTCAGGTACTGGATCAAGCAAAGATTCTTTTGGATATGGCTCCAAAAGCACAGCCAACAAAAGATAATTAGCAAACAGGATTACATCAAATTTCAAACTTTGTATATAAAGAAAAACAAACTTTCTGTAGTGAAGAGACAACCTATAGAATGGGAGGAAATATTTGCAAACTATTAATTTCACAGAGGATTAATAAGGAACTCAAAACCACTCAACGGCAAAAATGAACAATAATAATAATGGTCTAATTAAAAATTCAGGCTTGGGCCAGGGATTTAGCTCAGTGGTTCTGCCATCTGCCTTGCAAGTGCAAGGACCCAAGTTCAATCCCTGGTATCAAAAAAAAAAAAAAAAAAAAAAAATGGGCTTGATCTGAGTACACACTTCTCAAAAGAAGTTATACAAATGGCCAAAAAGTGAAAAAAAAGTGTTCAACATCACTAGTCATGAGGGAAATGCAAATCAAAGTAATGAGATATAATCTCACTCCAATCTTATGGGTATTACCGAGACAAAAATAAATGCTGAAGAAAGGCTGTTGGTAGGAATGTAATTTAGTAAAGCCATTATGGAAAACAGTACGGCAGTTCCTTTCAAAACTAAAAACAGGACTACCTTATCCTCTAGCAATTCCACTACTGAGTATATACAAAGGAAATAAAATCATTGCATCAAAAAGTTACCAGCACACATAAAAAGTTACCAGCACTCCCATATTTACTGCAGCACTATTCACAAAAGTCAAAATACAGAACAAACCTAATGTCCATCAATAAATGAATAGATAATGAAAATATGGTGCATATGTACAATGAAATGTTACTTACCGTAAAAAATGAAATGTCATTTTTCAGGAAAATGGACAGAAGTGAAGGATACCATGTTAAGTGAAATAAGCCAGATATAAAAAGACAAATATTATATCCTCACTCAATCTTATAGGAGAGTAGTGGGCCACTAACACCAGACATTACAGGAAAGGGATGGATAAAGAAGTTACATAATGTTGGCCGGGTGTGGTGGTGCACGCCTGTAATCCCAGCACTCAGGAGGCTGAGACAGGAAGATCGCTGTGAGTTCTAGACCAGCCTGGGCTACATAGTGAGTTCCAGGTCAGTCTCAACTACATAGTGAGACCCTGTCTCAAAAAACCAGAAAAAAAAAAAAAAAAAAAACAAGAAGTTACATAATGTGTAACAAAATACAGATAGGAGGAATTAATAAAACTATTATTCTATAGCACAATAAGGTAAATATAGCCTATAACAATTTATGATGCAATTCACAACTATAAAAAAGTTCAAAGGACCCCAACAAATAAAAATCATAAAAATTTTATATGGAAGTGCTAATTACCATAATTTTATCATTACACATTATAAAGATATATTGAATTACTGTACTATACCTTCTAAATCTGAGGAGATGCTGTGCCAATTAATTTTTTTTAAAGGGATGGTTTAAAGGCTAATATGAACCCCTTAAAATCAGTTTAAATTATACCATAAATGACATAGTAAGGCTAAGAGTGCTCCATTTAATTAATAACATTAGAAAGCACTTCACTTACAGCAGTATATATGACAGTGCTACAGAGCAGGGCTAATGTTGATAGTAAAACTCAATGTAAGAGGTGTTAATTATCCAACAGTAATACAAGAAAAAGTGACTAGTTAGTTCTCTATTAAACTTGAAAAGACACATCAAGTTGAACTATATAGCATAACTATGTTGCTCATGTCAGGTCTGCATATTTTTCTAAATTACTTGTTCAACAGAATAATTAGCCCAATGATTTCTTAAATAATAATGTATCACCATTGCCACTAAGGATCCCATAATCATAAATCTGTACTAGATCATCCTCTTTATTTGTCTCTATCCAGAAATGTTAAACTGTGTAGCAAATTTACTATGTTGAGTTCGAGCTAATAGTGGGGTGACATCATTTACAACTTCAATGAAGTGAATCTGTGCCAATATAAAAGCAAAATAAGCCTGATGTCTGATTGATGTCCAGATCTGGAAGAGATTTTCAGTCTTTAGAAGGAGCTGCTCATTGGCTATCACAGTTTAGGAGTATAGCAAAGCTCAATACTGTCATAGAACCTAAAACATCTGTACCTTCAACTTTTCTTAATATCCAAAGGAATGGTGACCCTAAAAGTTCCTCTGGAAGCACTTTGTTCAACTACATCACTCTTATATGACAGAAATAAAGCAAAAGAGGAAACCAAAACAGAGAAGAGGGGGGAAAAGAAGGTGAGGTCAAAGAAAAATTTTGTCAGTTGGAATAAAGGTTACACTACCTTGTACTAGAAACCCCTGAAACTGGAAACCTCTCCAGTCTCCAGTCTCCTGCTCAGTGTATGCCTCAAGCCTGAGGAAAAAAACACTAAAAGACAGAACTAAGAGAGACAAAAAGTGGGGAGCCATGACGGCCAATGCTACTTTAGCAAAAGGTGCTGGTCTGTCCAAGCCACTGATTGTTATTTGTAATCAATTGAGGTAAAGGCAAGCTACAGACTAGGGCAGAGCTATGTGTGAGTATAAATAGTTGTATGGCTTCTAAGGAAACTAATGGAGACAAGGCTAGGAGAGGAAAAGACAAAGCATTCTCAAATTAGGAACAGAATAAACAAAATATATGGTTGTGATTAAAAAACATCATCCTTCTAGTAAGAAGGTTTTAGTTGTGGGGACAGAATTTGTGTGCAAGTTACTCTGATCTCTGACCTAAGCTTTGGCTGGACTTACTTCTGTAAACAAGCCAATTGTGGGGTTAACTCTTTAGAGCCTACTTTTGGCATAATCAATAGTGTGGTCTCCTGTATCCCTGACTAGTCTGGATATCTTTGTAGTGATTTACAAACTTCTATATGGTCAAAACTAGCCTGAAACAAATTACATAAACTCAGGTGTTAGTTGTTTATAAAAATGAAAACTTCTCTTAGGTTTGTTTCATATAATAAAGAGACAAAAAACAAAGTTAAAAATAAAGCAGTTTGGGGGCTAAGGTTAGCTTAGTGGTAGCTCAGGTTACTGAGCTTAGCTAAGTAAAGAAATTATACATACACAATACATACATACATAGATACGAATGACAGTTCACTACCTCAGCAAACAAATTTTTTTTTTCTTTTCAGATGCTCATAATCACTTACTTGACTCCAGATCATAAAATGAGTAAAGTTTCTCTGACTCAGAGGGTGTTTCTTCCATCTGTGAAGGAGGAAAACATCAAAAAAGACTTAAAGTACTCCAATATGTAAATCAATATGTTCGAGCACATTTAGATATATTTCAACAAAGTATGTTTAAAAGATAATTTCCTACTCTTTCCTATCATTTTTAGAGATGAATTACTTAATAGTAACTTTCAAATAAAATCTAACTTGTATCTAATGGTTTTTAATCTCCAAATACAGAGCTCTTTTACAAAAAGTATGCATACTTTTACATTCTTACAGCCCTCTGTAAAATTTCAAAGTGGCAGCCAGGTGTGGTGGCACACACCTGCAATCCCAGCACTCAGGAGCCTGAAGCAGAAGGATTGCTGCAAGTTGAGAACGCCAGGGCTACATAGTGCGACCCTGTCTCAAAAACCAAAAATAAAAATAAAGCTTCAGAGTCTTCAATATGAACAGTAAAGGCAATAGCAAATGCTTTTGTAAAATTAAAATCCAAGCACATTTCATGAGTTGTATACTCACAAGCTTGATGACAACTCTGCCGAGAAGTCTCACAGAGTCAGGAGGATATCTGGGTTTGCAACTTTTAAGGCATTTACATTCCCGCTTGTGGTCCTGCCAAGCTTTTTTCTGTTAAGATAAAAGCAAAGACGATATTAGATAAATTAAAGTTTACTTTCATATACACTGGTTTTCAACGCTGAAAATCATCAATATTATTTTAATTTTAACAGCCTAAGTATAACTGCAAAGTAGAAAATGAAAGCAATGCTGTGATGCTGCAAATGATCCAAGATATGATCCTTGCCAAGGATGCAATTACGAGGCATGGACTTGAGCAACTTCAGCTTCACTCTTGTCCTTTACTTTGTTCTCTGGTCATTACGTGGGTGGCAGATTCCAAAGAAAGAACCACTATGGTTTATTTAACAAGGTATAAGACAGTCATTAACCACCTAAAAGGGAATACATAGTCAATAAGACAAAGTCTTTTTTTTTTTTTTTTTTTTTGGTACCACAGATTGAACTCAGGACCTTGTGTTTGCAAAGCAGGCGGCAGAACCACTGCAATCCCCAGCCCTAAGACAGTCATTGTAAATCAAAAGAAAGTATCACTCCAAATTAGAAAATAAAACACATATCTCAGAAAAATCAAAATAGAAAAGCTAGCCTTTTGAATTTCTATGCTGCTGTACCAAGTACAGAAACTTCAGAAGGTCTAATAGACTCAAAGTATAAACCCTTTTGTTTTCAAAGGCAATATAGAAAGGAACTAAAATCATCAAAAGCTGAGTTTGCCGAGGAATATCGGGGTTTATTATACCCTAGTTTTTTACCCTAGTTTAATAATTAACAATGCCCCTTCTCAATCTGAAAATTGTCTGGTTTGGAAATTAAACTATATGATCACTCAACCCATGATTCTGGCCATGAGCAGTGTGTCTGATAAGAACGCTGAGCCAGGCTCCAGGCTAGGAAAGAATGGACTAGAGAGGACACTATGCCTGAGACTAGGATCAGAGGTATTACAGCTCCTTTCGCATGCGATGTCATATGAAATAAAATTCAGAGTATCTAATATTTAGCTCTGGCAAGTGGAAGATAGCTACACCTCTGTCTCATGCATTCTACTCTGAGAGTCTGATCCGTCCCTGGCATGCCTGACGGCCCATTTACTCATTTCAGAGACTGTAAATCTGCTTCTGCACTTCTGGGCTGATAGTGCCCCTGTGGGAGAACCGCCCTTGCTTTTACTAGTAGTACAAACATGCAGCACACTCCAAAATTTCAGTTATTGAAGTTCCTTAGAAATTGTGGCTCAGTTTCACGTTTAAATCAGCGTTTTGTTATGAAAGACTGCTCTTGTGAAGAAGCAGGATAATAGCTTGGTCTGTCTATTTCCTAGCAATCTACATTTGGAGACATTGCTTATAACAGGTACATCATTTCTTCCATCAATTCTATTCAGGGTTGCCTTAGTTCACTGCAGCAATCTTCGGAATGTGCTGTTTGTAATCTTCAGTATCTACACTTCATTCACTTCTAGATAAGATTCTGCTTTGTCAGTGTAAAGAAGTATAAGGATGGTAAAAGCAGAGCCATAAAATGTTAAAATATTGGGGGAAAATATTAACAGTTAACATTTACTTAGCATTCTAAGATATAGACTAAGAAATTAATAATGGACGTTTCATTTTATTTTCACAAAGAACTTACTTTACACATATTAAAGAGGAAAGAAGTAATGTTCTAGAGCTGGTATATAACTACCAAACTACCCAAACATAAAAAGAGGATGTAAAAAAATCTTTATTATGCTAAACATCAGCACTAAATAATTACTATCATGGTGCATTATATTTATTTGAACTGCTTCACAGGCGAGGCAAAAAAGAAAGCATAAAGGCTTATATAACTGCCATTTGACAGCACAGAAAACACACTGATTTACCAAGTATTAAGTCACAGGAGTGCCAATCAAGATACTGGACAATGTCTTCCACAATTTTTCACAACTATAAGAAACTTTCATATAGCTGCTTCTAATGTCAGTACTCAATTTGTTATAAAACCAAAATATAACTAAGTGGAAATAAACGTCTGTTGTGTAATAGACTTTTGGGGGGGGGGTGTAGATCGAACTCAGGTCCTCACGCTTGCGAGGCAAGCGGAGGAACCACTGAGCTAAATCCCCGGCCCTAATAGGGTAGTCTTGAACTACCAATTAACAATTACCAACATGTGTAAGATGCCTTCAAAAGATACGGTTCCATTGTCAAGTCTGAAGAACACAAAATCATGTTGTAGACCCACTTTGCAAAATATATTTCACTTACTAAAAGTTCTAAAAAGTTACTCATTAAAGAAATTTGTATAAATTATTTAACACAGTTTCTCATGATTGTCCTCATTCTCTGGAAAATTAGGTTGGTATACAATGATTCAGTTTTATCTATGCACTTATTTTGTTTCATCTGGTCTTTGAATTGAGAGTTAAACACAAAGATTACACTCACAAGAAACTAAAATATTGATACTTTCTATTATCTGCTGGAGGGAGAAGCATAACTTTGTGTTGGAAGAATTTTCATGTGGTTATAAAAGAGGAAAGGTGTTCTTAATGGACAGACTACATGGAGTAACAAACTTCATACAAGAAGTAACTTGGAGTAACTTGAAAGACACCTTTAGATCTCTTCAAATATCTGAGTACATATTCAGCTGAACACAGACTGTACACAGAAAAATAAAGCAGAGATAATTTGGGACAAAAGATTTTAAGAAGCTAGGTATGGTGTCACATGCCTGTAATCCCAGCACTCTGGGAGGCTGAGGCAGGAAGATAAGTCTGGAAAATTAATCAAGACCCCCATCGCAAAATAAATACTAAGAAATGGCCTGGAAATATACCTTAATACAAAAGCCCTGGGTTTAACCCTCACTATGGGGAGGGGAGGGTGTTAATGAGATGATTTTAATATTTTTGTCTCAACTATAAAAGGTCATCTGCACTCATTTTTATTTTATTTTATTTTATTTTATTTTATTTTATTTTATTTTTGGTACCAGAGATTGAACTTGGGACCTTGCACTTGTGAGGCAGGCAGTGGAACCACTGAGCTAAATCTCTGGCCCTTGTACTCTCATTTTTAAAACTTCAATATTTGAGCAGCTCAGGCTACTGGTAACTTTCTAGAGAAAGACAGCCAAAAAACATAACCTAGGCAGTGAATCAGTTGATCAGTTACATAACATTATTTGGAATTTAAAAAATTATGGACAATTCCCATCAAATATGATTTTTATGTCTTTAACAAAATACTGAGCTCTTATTTCTAGTAGCAAAAATTAGACAAATGTTTAAGGCTATTCCTAGATCACTGTATGAAAACACTGGGGAAAATATTTATGTTCAGTAAAAAATAATATTCATTCTTTTCATCTAAAAGCCAAATCCAACCACTTAGGTATAAATATAGAAAGCAAAGAAACGTATTTAGTAACAAGTTTCAGCCTACTCTATTCCTCATCAAGATATTAAAAACAATCTTTTCAAACATTAATTGTTCAGCTTCTCACCATATGGCTTACAAAAATAATCATATTACAGAGAAAAAAGCTTTTAAGCAATTCTATTTGACTTTGAAGCAAAATTTGACAATCACAGAAAAACATTATGCATTATATTCATTGTACAAATTTCTACTTTGTCCTAGTCTCAATGGTGCATTACTCTTAAATATTTTAATTTCTCAAAAAGTAACTTTCCTGATTTTCTTTTTCCTTTTCTTCCATTGCTGTCAATTCAGGATGTAATTAAGATTTTATTTACAATACTGGCTGTAATGTTTTATAGTGTCACAGTTAAACATTAACAATACAATAACAACAAACTGCCATAGGAGACAAAGGAAATTAAAAGTATTACATTAAGAAGTGAAAACAATACAAGGGTTTTAGATAGAAAAAAGAAAATGAAAACATCTACAAGGGCCAGGAGTTCAATCCCCAAAAAGTTGTATTTATTATGTAAATACCATATTATGCCAAACTCCAAGTGGTTATACAAATGGAACCGAAGACAGATGTGTTAGACTTCTTTTACCAGGATCCACGAGATCAACCTTGTAAACAGCTCATAACCGTTAATCTACCATACAATTTAATACCAAAAAAAAAAATCTATGATAGAATTTCACATGTCAGTTCATGGGTGACTGAAAACAACTTCAGAACCTACACATTTCCATAACTTTGACAGTTTATACTAGTAGTTAGAATTTTGAAAGTATTTATTTATAGTATTTATTTAAACTAAGTAGCTACACCAAAGGTTCTAATGGGGCAACACCAATCTCAAAGGGCTGTTTGGGAAATTTATGACAACATTCTTGTCACAATACTTGTAGAGTATGACAGGCATTCAATGAACAGGAAATGAAATGGCAGATATCCTGTTGTAAGACAGCTTCATATCATTAAAACTGATCCCAAACCAATTACAACTGTTTTTTCTTTATATTCTTGGTCTAGAATAAAAAAAGAAAAAAGAAACAAGACCTTCTCCTTGATCTACACCCTTTTTTTTTTTTTTTTTTTGT